CAAGTCGACATCTAAACACGGGGGAAGAGGGTTAGCGATGCAAGGTCAAATTTTCAATCAGCTTGGCAGAATGTGTAACCCACCAATCTTTTGGCCACGCTGCGACACGGGAGAGGGCGAGGTTGCCGGGATGTGGGAGGTTAGTGAAGACATGGAGCTCTGAGTCTGGAGCTGGGGGCCTCCACCCATGGGACGGTGCTGCTCCTCCAACTGGCCACGTCGTTCCCTCTTCTCGCGTTCGATGCGTTCCCGCTCCTGAAGAGGCAGCATCTTCTTGTATTCCACTCGCAATTTCCGTCCTTGCAGCTCAAAGTGGTTGAGCACCTCGATCACTGTTGCTGTCTCCTCGGCCGATGTGAAGTTGGCGAAGGCAAGTCCACGGAACACACCGTTGTCAAAGTGGTAGTTGAAAGCGTAGGGCAGGGGCAGATTCAGCTCGGTCATCAGCTGAACCAGTTGCTCCTTCTTCACGGCAAAGGGGATGTTCTTGATGACGATCGCGGTTGGGATCAATTCATCGTCGTCGGCAGAAGACGCCGAAGGCTCCGGTCGCATCGCGCTGCTTTGGATGGGACCCGGTCCCAAGTTGGAAAAAGACTGGGGCATGTTCGGCTGCTGGTCCAACCAAGTCTTTAGATGGGGTTAGTACGTCCGAAGATAAAAGGGGGCGATCGCCTTGTTTTTCAAGGAAAACTTGACCAACATACCGTAGGGAGGCCAGTGCGGCCACGGGCGTTAGGCTTCAGACTGGCGGATGCCGACCGAATCCCACCGAGGGTTTGTGCGTTCGCGAAGCCATTGGGGTTCCATGTCTGTGATCCGGAAATGTCATAACCATAGTTGTTCTGAATGGACGGGTTCAACCGTTCGAGGCGAGCGGATTCGTAACGCATCGGATCCTCGTACAGGTTATTGGGCATAGCGCCGTAAGCGTCAAACTGACGAGAAGGTTGACGATGAAGAGGTTGTTGGTGTCGCTGGGAACCAGGAGAGCGCGCTGCTTCGTGATACATGTCTTGTTGATAACTCATGGTCGAGAATCTCTCGAGGAATGTGAGAAATATCCAACAATGTTAAAGATAATGGACTACTCCACCATGAGAGCGAGGACCAAAACAAAAACAAAAGTTGCACAGAAAGAAACCGTCGAGGACGGGATTGTGCGGATGGGGAAAAGTTTAGGACTAAAAGCCGGGAGGAAAAGTGGTGGGAGAAGAAACCGTCACGGAAAAAAAAAAAAAGTGAAGAGACCGAGACTCGATCAGCACACTTTTGCAACAAAAAGCCTGAAAGGGATATATGTCCTTTAATTCTTCACTTTTGTTTTTGCTTTTCCTTTTGTTTTTTTGTTTTTTGGCCGCCTTTCTCTAGATTCGAGAACTCGGGTGTTTTTCTCGGTCTATCGCAGAAACGGAAACGCGTATGTCGGATGTTAAATGGTGCACGAGTTAACAAAAGCCCCTGGTGTAGAGAGGGGAAAAGGAATGGTTTTGAGAAGCCCGCAAATCCGCCAAGAACCTAGGAGTAAGGAGGTGATAGGTAAAAGTCGAGAGAGAGACAGAGAGAGACTGCGGGATTAAATATGTATAAGTCGCAGCAGATCGCATAATAGGAGACGAGCAGTATCTTATATATTTGAGATGTGAATAGTCCAATCTTTTTTTATTTTTATTTTATATATTTTATATAATTTATTGTCTCTTCTATAATACGAGTAGCTCCCCCTGGGTCTGTTCACTGTACAGGCCTAAGACCAATGACATTGACCGATGACCCGATTCACTTGTGATCGCAGTATGTGGTTCGCCCAGATCTCCTGCATCTAATTCTTTGGATCTATAGAACTTCTTAATACAACCTCTCACATCTGATATTCCCTATCCTATTCGTCCTTCTCTCTCTTCTCCGTACTACTACATACTCCCGTACTCCCGTTCTTAGCATCCGAAGATCCGCCCCTGATTAAGTTGAAAATCGGGTTTATTCCGGGTCACCGCCAAATCAGAGTGATCGCTGTGCTCCAGTTGCTCGGCTCCCCTGTCCGTCATTCTAATGTACCTTCCTCCTCTCACAGCCTTTTACCAAGACGCCGTGTCTCGTTAGGCTCGTCACTAGGCCAGTTAGGAGTCTCCGCCGGAGTGGACTCTGGAACTATCCCTGAACAAATTTGGGGAAAGGTTTTTGATTTGTATTCTCGTGGATGATGTGCACGAGTTGCCTGACAGGATTCTAGGTTCACTCCCTGCCTCGTGCTTAGGGGTCCAGGTACCAGAGACACTTGACTCCGTACAACCTACCTACAGAGTACGGTGTACGAGTACAACAGGAATGTAGTGTCTCCGCCTTACCTGACTTTATATCGTTCCTCTATCCGACACACTACTGGTTTGATGCATTTATTGTTGGCTCCGCTTCATTCGAACTTTGATCGAAAAAAAAGCCAGGCAACAAAAAAAAAAGGAGGCCAAAAACAGTTGCAGTCATTGCAGAACATTCTATTATTACTTTAAGCTAATTTCCCCCCTATTCGTCGCCCCATCCTTTGCCTCGCGACTCGCCACCTTACGAACAGCCACCGATTACAGTACGAGTAATTATACTCGGTTCAATAATTCATCTCGACCAATAACTCCAACTCAGCCAAATACTGCTCCATCCTTTTCCCCTCTCGGCATTTGCAAGCTCCTGACGGCACAGAGCTCTGTACTCCGTACTCCATAGCGCCGGTCCCACTCCACGAAATTGGAACTTTCTCGTGGTCTCCACGATCCGCACATCCCCCGTTTCTAGCGCCAGCATCGAAGCTCCTCACAGGCTGCCCTGACCCAGCTAGAACCCGCTAGATGCTGGTTAGAATCTTTAGTGGCAGTGTCATGTCCCGGCCCAGCGTGGTGGGTTTTGAGAGCTACGGACTTTCGTAAACCTACTCCGGACTAGACTTGACAATCTCGCGGAATCCGGGATAGCTCGACGGAGTATTTTGAGTACTTCCTTTTGAGGTCGCGCTAGAAAAAGGAGGGTCATTGGGCTTGTATTCTGAACGGGTGGCTTTCCGTAATTATGGCTAAACAGTGTCGCATGTCTGGTGGCGTCTGCCACGGGGTTTGGCCTCAGCGCCCTACTGCGCCTTTGGCTGGAATTGTGCGTTTATTGTGTTGGTGGCTTGTTATATGGAAGTATACTTGTGTCCGATGCTCTACTCGTATAAAGACTCCATACTCCATGCGACACAGGTTCAGAAGGCAGTGGATTGATCTGCGAGAGGGCCGGTTCGGGTCGCATGGCCTCTGCCATGTTTCAGATAAAGTCGACGAAGAAGAGTAATTGCTTCTAGAAAAAGCCCAGCTCCGCAGTAAATTAAGGGGTTTCGCGACGAGGTTGAAGATGTAAAACCTCCGCATGATTCCGGAGACCGTTGTATGGAGTACGAGTACATAGTACTAGTAACTACTGAGACAGTCGAGGTGAAATACTGGCGTAGGCAGGAAAATTACTTAAGTCATTAACACCCAAAGCCCTGTGTTGCGAAAACTCCCCATGAAGCTGTTCCGTCCAGATGATCAAGTCAGTCTGTAGATCTTGATCTTTTGTCACTCTTTGATAACGTCTACCTTGGAACCTTGGAAGTTCGCTGGTAAAGCAATATAGGAGGAGTCGATACCCCAGTTGCCACTCCCTACTCGGAGATGAGACCTTCACTCCAGAGCTCGTACGAGTACCGAGGAGAGACATTCCCTCCCAAAGACTACCGCTTCCATTTTTAGATACTTAGGGGATATGCGGAGTATTACTTGTAAGAGTGCTACTTGACAAGGCAGGAGACCCCGATGAGGATCGTGATGTCAGCAGGATTGGGTCTTGACAAATTCAAATCTCAGACACTACTCGTACTAGGTACGAAGTGCGAAGTGTTATGGATCAACTACTCCGTACAGGGCATGACCTCGGGAGGCACTTGAGCAGGATGAACCTTCAGAGGTCCTGAAGTCCTCGCACCGCCCAATCTCCCCTGTCCTGAAAATGAGATCTATTCCATCACATTCGAGACCAATTTTGAATCTTCTGCAGGTGTGAACTCCTGGTCAAGAGTCCACTTTCTTCCTCAACGCCGTTGGCCTCCCCACAGAGTGCATAACTATATGTGTGCATCAAGTCTGAGGTATCACCCCGACCTGCAACTGATTTGAAACGACCTGTTCTGCTTCCCCTGAAGCATGATAATCGTTTCAACAGACTGTCAGGTGGATTATCTGAAGGAACAAGCAACTTCGGAACTATTAAATCGATAGTTAACGTTAGTCGGGTGGAGTCAATGCCTGACAAATCAGGCCAGAATCCCAATCGAGAAAATGATCGTGATCACAAATGGGCAATGGATAGCTCGTATGCATCGAGGAAATCCATGGACGAGACCGTTTGAACCGTTAGATTTCAAAGGTTGCAACTTGGAGAATTAAGCTCATGCAGCCCTGGGTCTTGGCTTTTCCGATCACAAACAGTATTTCCAAGATTTCCCCCTCACTACAAGTACTACATACTACACTGTGATGCAATTCGCATACGAGTACGAAGTAAGAGTTATCTTACGGAAGAACTGATCCCGCGATCGACATCAGTCTTCAGCATGAAACAAGATCCGAGCGAATGTGTGCGCGCGACACGAATGGGTGACGACTGTCAGACCCACATGGAATCTCGAAGAGGTTGCATCTGCCGCATCCAGACTGCGATCATCACGCTGATAGGAGCAAAGGTCGGGAAACCCGACCGATGCCTGGAGAAAATAAGCAGAATGGCAAGCGACTGAACCCCCAGTCCTGATCTAAGCCTGTCTGAGCTCAGCGTTGACGTTGACTTGGTTTCGTGGCTGCGCCGTGCATCGGGAACCACGCGGCCAAGCTGACGGGGCTCAGAGCCAAGGCCCGGAGTGGGGAATTGGCGTCGTCTTTAAAGTCCCGGCTTTTCGCTTCCTTGGTTGCTTTTGCTTTTGTTCCTGGACGATGAGGACTACAGTACGGGCTACGATAGCCCTCGCGCTAGTCGCGACGGTGTTATTGGTGAAAATTCATCTCGATTCTCTGTCGCAATGGCAGGATTCTGGTGATCGCAGGACTTCTATTCGCGACACCTACGTATTAGATGGCGACGCATATATCGAGCTGGTCTCGGCGGAACCGACCTCGACAACTTCCAACCCAACGCGGAGGAAATGGATTCCCACGGCTCGACCGACTCCCCGTTTGATGGCCGCCAGTGCGAAACCCAAGCGCGTCCCCGTCGATGTCCCCGGCGCCGAATGGTCATGGGGAGGTCCTTGGTACGAACCCAGCAAATTAAGCAAATTAAGCAATTCGCAAAAGCTGCATGCGCAGCAGCTCGGGCCGATACAACAGCTACAGCAGAGTAATGGGCGAAAGGCAGCGCCTTCATCAAGTGCGCCGCCCCGTCCGAAAGTGACTCCGAAATCGGATCGCATAATTGTTTTGGGTAGAATGTCCTACGAAGATACAAATTGGCTGGAAGACGAGTTGCCAGAGTACGCATGTACCATCTCATGATAAGTGCAATTGCTAATCCCAATACTTTACAGATGGCAGCATGCAGTATACACAGTTGACGATCCGGGGGCACCTCTCACTGTTGATCAGAACAAGGGCAAAGAAAGCAACACCTACCTCAAATACATTTTGGATAATTACGACAAGTTGCCCGAGTACATGGTCTTCCTACACGCCCACCAATGGAGCTCCCACGTCGAATTCTGGGAGCAGGACAATGTCCTCACCGTCCAGAGACTGCAGCTCGATTATCTCCGCAAGTCGGGCTACGTCAATCTACGCTGCGACTGGAGCCCCGGTTGTCCCGATGAAGTCCAGCCATTTAGACAAATGGCAGGTCGCACGACCGAACTCGCCTTTGCAGGTGCTTGGATGCGCATTTTCAACAACACAGATGTCCCCGAGATGGTCGCGACACCTTGCTGTGCTCAATTTGCCGTGACAAGGGAGCAGGTCCTTAAGCGTCCGCGCAGTGACTATGAGTCTTACCATCATTGGCTCATGACCACGGAATTGGACGATGAGACGAGTGGTCGGGTCTTTGAATACCTGTGGCATATCATTTTCGGGCAGGATCCCGTGTTGTAAGTTCTGTTCTTGATGGTTGTGAATGTATGCTAACCTTTTTTAGTTGCCCGGCAAAGGCGCAGTGCTACCGCAATGTATATGATATGGACTATGAGGAGCCGCCAGAAGACCCGTGGGGTGACGATTTCTGGGGCGATTGGATCGATGATGTCCCTGACGAGATATGATTAAAGTTGTCTGACTTCTATAGAGCATCTGCTTTGTACAAATACCCTAGACTTATGTTTTATGTATAAATTGAATTTTCTGAACAAGAACCACTTCTTCATGTAGATATAGGTACCCTTACTTAATTACTAAGTAAGACTTCAGGAGTTTATCGCAGCAGAACGTCTACGGCATGTTCTCAAGTTATCTCTTGTTCTCTCAATCCCGAAGCCTCTTTCTAAAGTTTTAAATATATCAATTACCGTTTCCCTGCCGCTTATGTCTACTCTAATACTTTATCAGTTCAGACAACCGGCCGTAAACGCCCCTCTCCGGGGCTTTGGGTCTTCCAGTAAATAAATACAAAAGTCATCAATTCCATGTACTTTAGACTCGATACTAACCTTAGAAGGTACTAGGCAATGAAATAAAATCACATAAAATCATCCACAAGCATAAGGAGCGTCATTGGATATGTTCATAAATCTGGTCATGCATGATCATCATTTACCCAAAAGTCACCGAAAAGCAATGCCGCTCACAGCCATGCAAAGGCCATCAGTCCCACGATACCGGCCATGGAGACAACTCCGCGAGCCGATAGGTCAGCAGCAGCATCAGGGGTCGCAGTAGAAGAAGCAGCAGAGCCTGCAGACGATCCCGAAGATTCAGCAGATCCCGAGTTCGAGCTGGTGGAGTCCTGGCTAGTTCCACTGGAGCTGGATCCACCTGTGGTGGTTGCAGTGGCAGACGCAGCAGTGCCTGTGCCTGTGCTGGTAGAAGAGCTGGTTCCAGTTGCGGCAGAGTTGTAGGTTGTTGTGCTCAAGGAGCACGAGTGAACTAGGTCAAGAGCCTCTGTGAAGAATATTAGATATGGTGGTCTTCTAAAGTTGGGTTATGGAATATACATACCGTTGTCATCGTCATCATCGTCGCGATCGTTGTCATGATCATCGTCATCGTCATGATCATCATCATCATGGTCGTGGTCGTGATCATGGTCATTGTTGGTGCTGTTGTTGCGTCTGTCGGTTTGATATTGGGTAATACAGGCCGAGCAGAGTGGGATTTGGGTTTTGGCTTTCTCCCAGTCGCAGATGCATTTGATCTCAGCAGAATCATTGTCGTATCGGGCATCACAGCTTTTGGAAATTCCGACGACATCCCCACAAACATTCCAACAGCGGTTTGGAACATCGTCGTGATCTAGCTTGGACGCGATGGCGACGTTCCCGGCGAGGATGAGGCCAGAGAGAGCGAGCAGCTGCTGGGTACGCATGATTGTTGATGGTGTTCGTTGAATTGAAAGCTGGTTAAAATATTGAAGTGCGGTTGTTTGATATAGACATCAACATCAAGCGCGATCCATGGAATATTTATACCTTGACATTGGAAGGGTCTGGTTTCTAAATTTGACACCATTTATCTAGACCCTGCCTAGATCGACAGGGTGTTGCATGTCTCTGGAGTACTTCTCTTTGTCGGCATCCCCCGCTGCTAGCCAGGGCACTGGGTAGACAAGCTGCTAAGCCCCCATGCCAACCCTACGTAGGTGCCGACGGCACCTTGAAGATCAAAGGATAAACCAAGACCCCCACCGATCAGCAGAAGGCCGCCAATATTGAACTCACAAAAGCAGCTGCCTGGTCTGTCCAAATTGGCCAAGACTTTGGTCCAAAACTAAGTGAAAACAGCACCAACGAGAATGCGGGGACTAATTATATCGTGCATCGCATTGCCCTTGAGTTTTCCGAGTCGTCAAGTCAGAATGCAGGGACTGGGGCTTGCTTGATCCCTGCTCAAGTGCTACCTGGGCATCCACGCCGTTGAGGAGCACTAGGAATTCGACTTGAATCGAATCTCGTACACGGTACGGAGTCCTTTGCCAAGAAAGGGTCTTGATTTTCCGCGCGGAGTTCGTATAGGTACCTTTGTACAGCTCCAGGGTCTAAGCCACACTGTGGGGCCCGGTGGTGCATATCAGTTGGCTTGTTAATTCTGCAGCCTTGACTGCTATACCTTAATCAATAGTATTTGCAACCTGAGAAACTTTTAGAGATGAGTGAAATGTTTTCAGCAGCTTAAGCGAGTGTGAAGGTGGATCTCGTTATGCAAGGTGCCGACAAGCGGAGTTCTAAAGTTGATCCGCTCCTATATATAGATAGCGTTTGGGCTGTTGAGTAACCAGCCAAGCTCTGGAGTTAATCTCCAGGCTTCAATGTTCTTGTCAGAATGCTTGTCGTTAGCCTATTACTATTTGGAGTTGTTACACGTAAGGGTCGAGATGGCTCCATAGACTGCCAGTGTAAATAACTAACGTCTGATGACCCTTCCGGATGTTCTGCTAAGCCACTAGAGATTTTGTTGTAACTTTGACGATCTAGATGCGATCAATCCGTATCCGTTTGGCCCTCTTATCTGACATTCAATACCTAGGTATAGTTGTGGATGACTTCAGGAAAATCAAAGTATCCAGTAACCCTGTACTTCGCGATGTATGCAAATACCCGAGTGACGTCAGAATCCCCGCCTCCAATTCAAAGATTACAAGACGAAAGAGACCAAAAGGCCTTGCGAGGACTGATTGGGAAGATCTTAAACAATGAAAAGATACAGAGAAAATGAATTCGCAACTCAAGTGCTGCCAAGCAGAGGTGTTAGTAAGAATGCACTATCAACTTCCACCCCGGGGACCCCCGCAACCAAAACACGCACTATCTTTGGCCGCTGGGATCCTTGTACTGAGCCAACCTGAGTACCTCGATATTCTACCGTTCTCTGGCCACATCTTCTTCCTCAAAAGAAAATGAATCGGAGTGTCAGCAAAATGTGGGAAAAGTACTGCCTGCGTCCAACGCAGGGCACTGTATCCACCACCATCCCAATTTTCATCTACGGCACAGCCTGGAAGAAAGATCGCAGCGCAGATCTGGTGTACAATGCAATAAATGCTGGGTTTAGAGCTGTGGATACCGCGGCCCAACCCCGTCATTACCAGGAGCATCTCGTTGGCGACGGTATCCGCAGAGCTATTGCCGATGGGATCGTCGAACGAAAGGACTTATATGTGAGAGAAATTGCTATTTTTAGTATCCCACAAGACAGGTTACTAACTTGAGCCAGGTTCAAACTAAATTTAGCCCCATCTCGGCGCAGGACCCTGACAACATGCCATATGATGCTTCTGCGCCAGTAACCGAACAAGTCCATGCATCGATTAAATCATCTTTGCAAAACCTTCGCTCAGAAGAGGACCTCAAATCCGTGGACGAGTCATACATTGATACTGTGGTCATTCACTCGCCACTTTCAACTCTTGCCCAGACGCTAGAGGCCTGGCATGCCCTGGAAACCTATGTCCCCCACCGCATCCGCAACCTAGGAATCTCCAATTGTACACTACCCATGTTGAGAGAACTCTGTACCTCGAGCCAGACTACCGTGAAGCCATCGGTGGTTCAGAACAGATTCTACGAAGACACGTTGTTTGACGTCCCTCTCCGAGCATTCTGTCGTGATAACCAGGTCATCTACCAAAGTTTCTGGACTTTGACAGCCAACCCAGACCTTGTACGATCCAGCCCTGTGCAACAACTGGCTCGTCATGTGGAGATAACTCCGGCAGCAGCCTTTTACACTTTGGTTATGGGTCTGAAAGATGTGACTGTGTTGAACGGAACTAAGAACGATGAGCGTATGAAGGAGGATCTGGCTGCACCAAAACAAGTTGAAGCATTCACACACAAGCAACCTGAAGTGTGGCAGAATCTTCTGTCTGAATTTCAGAACTTGATCGGCGAATCTACGTTATGAGATAGCAATGATAGGTGTTTTACAGTGGAAGGGTGGCATGGACTAAGCATCCCCCAAAGGGTTCCTATTTAATACCTTGTTCAACTAGATCTCTGAATTCAGAGCATAAACCAGGTACGCTTGAATAGCAATCGCCACCCAATAGGCTGGATGCATGTTAAGTTGTTGAGACCATTGTCCATCGCCCCGGCGACAGTGTCAGAATTGAATGTATCAGGCGGGTCCAACCCACGATTGGCACGGATGATGTCGTCGCCGGCGCACATACTCTCCTGCCGTATTTGTTATACACAAGAATCTTCGCAAACATCGAAGCAGTCTTGAACTCTGCGTCTCTCCTCTCCTCGTCCTTTCTTATCCAATTGGGCTATCAGCATGTCATTTGGATGGGACTGAGACCGTTAAGCAGTTGGACCCTAGTCTCAATCCCAATTTCTTTTCGTTGGCGACTGGCCTCAATTTTCGACTTGCCCTTCTGATGATGGTTCTTCTTTCTGTTGACGTTCATTCTCGTCATCTGATATCCAGTCTTCTGTTGATGATTGGTTTCATAGTGACGCCCCCAAACGGACTAACTTCAAGCAATGACTTGATGGGCAGTGGGAAATCTTGCATTTGACTCAACAATGGGGTTAAATTTCCACCTAGACCGAAACCTAATGTGCTAGGCCTGGTCTATACTTCTGACAAGGTGCTGTAATTGCAGCAAATTGGCACTAATTGATCTGACGAGTAAATGTCAGATTAATTCCTACATGGTACAGTCCGAGACAGTCGGATATCCATGAAAGACCGTCATGACAGACTGTCTGGTCAAAGGACGCATACATGAGTGTGGGCAAAGTTCAGGGCCTGGATCTCCCGATAAGCCCAAATCACGTGGCAACGAGATCAACCGCTGCTCTGACTCTTTTAACGCCTCCATGACCCCGTTAGTTCAATCCCGCGATTGTGTGGCATACCCATTTCGCTCCCCATTCACACAAAGGATTTGATACTGTCAGGAAGATCGTCTCCACCTGAGATCATCGTTCACCGCCTCGGTGGTTTCTGCTGAAGCCTCCCGCCTATCTGGAGGTTGGACAATTCACGCGCCTGGCCATCGTCATCTGCCTTGTATTGATCACTGCTGGCCCCTGATCCTTTTTTGCCAGTCGTCGACTGTTGCGGCTCGGTATTTCTTATCGCCATCGTCATCGATCTGATATTTTGCGGCTAGATCAGCGGCATCCACTTTTTTTTCCCGGTTCTGTGCACAAAGGCTTTTTGCCTTGGCTCAAATTTGAAAGCAACTTGAATGAACGACCCTGCTTTCTACTGAGATCGCACCCTTCAGCCTTGTCTCTCGAGAAAAACCATCGCGACTAGCTTATTTCCGGGCATTGAACGGAGTCGCGATTCAATTCTATCCCGGAACTTCACAGCGATAAGACCCAACGTCTTGCGCCAGTCCATCCACGATGAGTTCGCAAGGAGTGACTCGCAAGCGTCCTGCGCCCGGGACAACTCCTGCTGTTCATTCGCAGATGAATCCGATCCCGCAGGGACTTCAGAACTTTCCCACCGCCGCCCCCGGATCTCAGCTTTCAAACGATCAATTCCTACAATGGGGTCAGAACCCCCCCGCTAATACCGTCAATGCCACCGCCCTCTCCGATACCTCCTACAATCCTACGGCATTTGCGCCTCCTCCAGATGCTGCTGCACCAGCTGCGACAGCATCCAATCAACTGGCCCGCCGCCAAACGAATCAAAACCAGAACCAGAACCAGCAGATGGTGAGCAGAAATCGTGGGTACGAGCAGCCGCCCGCCTCATACGTGGAAAATGGAGGAGCAAATGGAAATGGTGAAAGCGGGGCATGGGGAGAGTCGCTCGAAGAGCTTTATCGACGGGCTTTGGCTGCAAAGAGAGATTCACAGGCAAAGCGAAAGCAAATTCCACCATTTGTCCAAAAACTGAGCAGGTATGATACACTGGTTCCGTCACTGATGAGGACCTGGAGCTAATCTATGATCGCAGTTTTCTCGATGAATCCAAGAATACAGAATTAATTCGATGGTCCGACGACGGAAATTCATTTGTCGTTCTAGACGAAGATGAGTTTGCTAGAACTTTGATTCCAGAACTTTTCAAACATAACAACTATGCCTCCTTTGTTCGACAGCTGAACATGTACGGCTTCCACAAGAAGGTTGGACTTTCTGATAATTCAATGCGCGCCAGCGAGCGAAAAAACAAGAGTCCTAGCGAATATGCCAACCCTTATTTCAAACGTGGTCATCCCGATCTCCTCTGGCTCATCCAGAAACCAAAGAATGCAGGGAGCGGTCATGCCAGCAAGCCCAGCAAAGGTGGGACTCGCGTGAAGACAGAGGATGTTGACGATAACGACATGGACGAGTACGTCGAAGAGGGTGCACCTGCGCCTCGTGATAACCGTGCCACTCGACCTCAGCAACTGTCATTGGTAACCGACAATCCAGTGCCAAATGAACAACTTTCTGGGGTCTACCGCGAATTGCAAGCTATTCGCCAACAACAGTCTATCATATCCACCACTATCACAAGGCTGCGCAAAGAGCATGAGCAGCTTTATTCCCAGGCGGCCAATTTCCAAGAGCAACACACTCGCCATGAGAATTCTATCAACGCCATTCTCACATTCCTCGCAACCGTCTATAATCGCAGTCTACAGGGACAAGATGGTACGCAAAATCTTGCAAATTCGTTCGCAGGAGCTATTTCTCAAGATCAGGGGAACATTGTGGATGTCGGTGATGATTATCTCAGTAATGCTTTGGGGGCCATGGCTAGCCCTAACGGCCAGAGAACAATGAAGAAGCAACAACTTCTTTTGAAGGCTCCACCGGCTGCAGGCGACGTCAATCGTGCATCTACGATTTCACCAGCAGCCAGTGGCCCATATGAAACCAGATCTCGTGGCCATACTCGACAACCCAGCGCCAGCCAGCCCGGCCATGTGGAGGAGGTCTTTGACCATAGTCCACAGCCCGGCCCCTCCAATCTTCCCCAGGGTCAACAAGATGACGGAATTCCCCAACAGGATATCATGTCTGTCATCCAAAACTCGAACGCACGCAACGGACTTGCGACGAACTTTGCCGAGTTCCCTAACGTGCTCTCCTCCCTCGAAAACCATGGTGGCAATGTGCCGCTCACGCCAAACCAGCGTGCTGACATGCTTCGACTCATGGCAAATGAAACCGGCTCGGCCGACCAGCCTGCGGGTGTGCCACCTAACAACGCGCTGATCTCGCCGAACCCGCCACCCATGCCCCACAACTACTCAGGCAGATTAGCCAGCACCCGACAAGAAATCGACAATCTCGTCAAAATGCAAGCCGAACAAGATCGGTCCGTTCAAAATTTGACCAGTCTCCTTCAGCCGCTGAGTCCAAATGGCACCATCCCAGGCATTGACCAGGATGGCAGTGTGCCCCCTCCCCCTCTTGACCTCGACACCATCTTCAACAACGATTATTTCACCGATATTGGCGATACAGGTGCCGGGAACAAAAAGCCAGACGATCCATTAAATCAATTGGGCAATGTCCCAGGTGACGAAGGGGACACCAATGACCTGTTCGATTTCGACCACATCCCCAATGAACCAGACCTCTTCGAGAATCCTCACGGACAATCCGACCCCTCCGCATACAACTACGGCTTCGATGGGACCGGCTACGAAGATTCAGGACGGGTGGTCGAGCAGCTGACGGACAGCGAAGCCACCAGCCCAGCAGCAGCAGAGACCCACGAAACGAACGACGGAGGCAGCGCCTCAAAACGGCGCAGAAAAGTATGATCGCAAGCATCTGCTTCAGCTCTGAAGCATGAAGCTGTCGCATCGGGGCCTAGGGGCTTCGGAATTCGGCGTAGGAAAGGCGTTTTTCTTCTGATGTATGGTTATTTGCCTGGGTGTGCCTGGGTTTTAAGTAGGGGCTGTAAAAACCTTTATCATGATCTATGATTTGATCCATTTGCCAAAAACTCTAATGAGATACCTTTTTGCTTCTTTTCTTCGTTGTCGAGTCGTAGCAATGAAACAGGTCTCGTCATTTTATCGGTAGCCACCCATCCGTGCCATCGTCGCTCCGCTGGGACCGGGCGTCGCGAATTCCCAGGGCGTTTTGACGCCCTTTGCGCGAAGCAATTCTCGCTCACGGGCACGTACTCGTCGGTGATGGGATCGGGAGAAGCGTTTCCGGGCTCGCTTCTGTTTTCTGGTTGGCTTGGGCTCATGGCTCCGGTCTGATTTAGGGCTTGGGCTGAATAGGCGTTTCAGCGTTGCAAGCATTTTTGATAGCATTTCTGGATGTGTTTTGTGATACATAAGTAGTGACAAAGGTTCAGAAAATCGAGAGGGGGACTGTAGCTATCTTTATAATTTGCTTTTGGGGGCCATTTTCATGGTAGGCCTCGATCGGGCAACTTGACTCAGAATGAGTGCAGGCGGATAATGATCATTGGTCTAGAATTAATCGCCCTGGTTAATCTCACCTGGATATTTCCCTGACAATTAAGTATTAAGGGTGCGGGACAGGGCTGGAGACCCCACGAAGTAAGCAGCCCAATTGGGAAGTATGTGGCGCTCAATGGCCTGAGGCATGGGGTTTTTATATACAGGTGAATTTCTCAAGTTCCGAGGCTATCAGGATACTTGTAGCTAAACTAAAGCATTAGGCTAGCAGTTGAATGCCTGAACATTTACTTAGATCCATCTATAACAACCGAAATAAGCAACTCGGACAGCCTACGGGACCTAGTTTTGTAAATTGAGAGAACGGTGAAACCTTCAGGGCTAGACATGCGATAAGATGGCTGCTGTACAATATCTGAAATATTTGATCATAACATTTAACGGCTCTTATCCCACTCCAAGCCGCCAACGCGTTCAAGTTTCCTCTCACGCTCCCTATCCCGCTGTAACCCCTTCTTCTTCCCAACAACTTCCTTCTCCTTTTCACGTGGATCAATGACCATCAACGAGTCTGCCTCAGCACCATGCTGACGCTTCCATTCTAGATCCTTGCCCAGTGTGTCTTTCCCGAAACGAAGTTCATGAGAGAGCCAGGTCCGATCATCGTTTTTGTCATCCCCATCTTCTTCAGGATCATCCCATGATTGACAGGACTGGCAATTCGCAATGAAGTGGAGGTCACAGAGCTGTGCCTCTTCGTCTTCGTCTTCGTTTTGGTCGTGATGTTTATCAGTGTTCTGTTTGTTTGGTGTGGGTTCAGGCTTGGCACTTTCGAGCTTGGCCTTGAAGGCGTTGAAAAGCTGCAGTGCTTCTCGCTCTGCTGCGTTGCTGGGACCTGTGCCATTGCGACTGGTGCCGTTGGCAGATCCTGGAGGGGGTCGCTTCCGTCCTCGAATTGAGGTCTCAGGAATTAGAGCTTCAAGCGCGGACTTCTTTTTGCCGGTGTCTTTAGGACCGACATCAGCGTCGCGGCGCATAGATGCCATGAGATCGGCAATCTGGGCATTCGTCCGAGACAGCTTGGATTCTTTCGCGGGAGCTTCTGGGGTCGGAGACCGGGATGGTGATTCGGGATCTCGTACAGGAAGTTGTGTCTCGTGCTCTGGGGTCTTGGGGCGCTTTTTGCGCTCTGTCGATGGTGATCGATTTGGACATGGAGAGCGTGGTCGCTTCCGTTGCGATGAGGCCTGAGCTTGTGTCTTGGGTTTTGATACCTCGGGCAGTCCGCCTGGCACATCCGAGACCAACTTGGTGTTGAACTTTGGTTTGGCTGGGCGCATGGGCATCTCATCTCCTTCCTCGTCTCCAAAGCTGAGTAGCGTTTTACCACCCTTAGGCGCCTTCTTCTTTTTCTTTGGTGGGCCAGCCTCTGACTGCCCTGTCGTTGAGACAACCTTTCTGTCTTTCAATTTCCCCTCCAATGGCCCTAATTCTCCCACCTCGCAGGAAGTAACCTTGATCGGATACACAGGTCGCTCAGTGCCCTCGATGCGCTCTGCGTCGGCAATCTTGAGAACATTGTATATGCTGTCACCTTCCAAACGTCCAAATATGGTGCACTGTCCATTCAATTCGCGCTCCGTGTTCGCAAGAGTGATGAAAAATTGACTGCCATAGGTTCCATCCTCACTCTTAGCCATACCCAGCAAGCCACGCCGATTGAAGCGCAAACGACTATGTAATTCATCGCGAAGAACCACGCGCTCATTCGGGTCTCGAGCTTCGGGGTCGTATTCAAATTCCGGATATTCATAAATTGAGGTACCGCCAGAACCGGTGCCAGTGGGATCTCCGCCCTGGATCACAAAGTCCGGGGCAACTCGGTGGAAGATTGTGTCTGCATAGTAATTGTCTTTGCAGTGCTGGAGAAAGTTCTTGCAAGTGAGAGGAGCCTGGTTGGCAAAGAGCGCGATCTGGATAGGGCCGATGGTCGTGTTGAGCGTGGCCGACGCGGTGGGATTCGGTTCGCTGGCGTATTGTGTAGACATGCTGGGCGTTGGGCGCGCGGAAGTGGATATATTATGGTGCGCCCACGGGATCAATCTCGGATGAATTTGTTGGGGACCTAGCACCCTCTGGAGTGTTGCGATTCACTTGTCTTCGTTCGACCAAAAGTTCGACCGGACGTCATGGCACGTGACGAGTATACTGCAGCTCTACTGGGTGGTTGATTTCTTCTTGCATTACATGTCTTGTTATGAGTAGCAAGATTTGGTAATTTACGAGCAAGCAGTGACCTGATATTTACTCATAGGCAAATACTGGGAACTTTCTACAGAGACAGGAGAGCTTTTGGCTACCCGGTAGTAATGTTTCGCGGCCGGGTAATCAAGTTTTGTCGCATTTGGGAAGATATGACAGCAATGTCAAAGCTATAAAAGCCGTCGTAGGCCTGGATGAGGCGGATTCTCTGGATGGTGTCAGTTTTCGGTGACAGTTGGCGTTGGTGAAAGGTTGGGTATGGACAAACTGACCCAATGTCCCCTGCAATGCATGTCTCGCTCGAGCCAAGAACCTTTGGTGCTGCTTGAATGAGCTTGAATGCGTGAACTTAGACCCAAAGCAGCCAGCGAAGGCTCTGCATGCTCTGCAGGCCATCTGCTAGCGTACCAACGTGACTTCAAGTGGGCGATGAACCCTGTCTATCACAGTTGGCGCAATGGCGGAGAACGAGTCGCAATGGATCTTAGATTGGTTGCATAGGGAGGCCTGATTGTCGCGTAGGGAGATTCGATCCAAGAGAGTCGTAATCTGTCGATGCGGAATGTCGCTTGATGGACCCCGTGGGGGAAAATACCGATGGCAGCAGTCGTCAAACAGACCATTTTTGGACACACGATCATACTGGTGAGACGTCTGCCGGATATTGCAAGGGAAGCATCGATATCGCAATCGGCATTTGCTGCTGGCGCTGTTGCTGGTCCTGATCCGGTGAGGCCCTGATGTGGAGACCTAACTTGAATCGTAGTCTGCGTAGGGTGCGTTCAGAAATACCGTAGCCTTCTTGCTGCAGTAACTTGAGCATAGCTTTATCGGTCAGTCTATCCTGCCAGAATAGCATGGTAATTCGGGCGTGTAAAGCTTCGTCGCCTGTTGTGGTTCGATGTCGCTTTCGGATTCCCCACTTGCGGAGGCGTGTTTGGATGGTGCGCTCTTTGACCTGGATGTTATGTCGATTCTCGAGGGCGCGGCTGATAGAGTCGCTACTGACGCCATCATGGTAGAGAGATACTATTTCGTCGCGGAAGGGCTCTAGATTGATTTGTTGGCGAGGCATTGTGGGTTTGATAGGGGAGAGAGGAGAAGAAGCGGCCCCGAGTCATCTATCACTAAGGCGGTGAATCTACCGAAATTAATTTTCCTTAGCGATGGCTGGAGAACTTGGCGAGATTTTATGAGAAAGATATTGTGTTATTTGGACTTTGTGTAGAGTTACTTAAGTAGATGTGCAAAGCAGCAGTTGTTTAAATGGTGCTCAAGTGTATACCCGTCCCCGCGAATGTACTACAGCATGGACAGCAGTCAAGCTCCCAGGAATGACTTCAGGACAAGACACAGGACCTCGAACAAAAGGTCGATTTGAGTAGTGCGGAAAATCAAGATATATTATATTGCGTTTTCATTGAATCATTAGAGAAGATGAACCCTAGTCCACTTCTGACTCGAAAAGAACCCCCCTGCCCAGGTGGTCCATGTTTTGATATTGCCTCCACGATACAAAAGCTTAAGCTTTCTTCTCTACCTCCGCAGCAGCAGATGAGCTCATCTCAGGGGTGTTCTTATTGCGCTTCGCAATGCGGAACCCACCAACGAGGAAGAACAGAGCCTGCAGACCGAGAATGACTGCCAAGGTAACCATAGCGCCAATCACACCGGCCACCGCGCGCGACATACCAGAGCCACTAGTGCTAGAAGTACTGGCGGAGCCGGAAGAAGAAGTGGTGCTGTCAGAGCTTGCACATTTGCCGTCAGTGTTACCGCAAATAGAGCACCACTCATCATCGTTGATGACGGCAATGTCAGTAGTCTTGCTGACGAAGTCATTCCATGAGAGAAGCTCGCTGGACTGTCCATACATGGGGTATGCGGTTGGTTCAGAGCCACCGGTGATGGTGCCGTTGTGGAACAGGAAGCGAACACTGAGTTCAGACTTGTCGGTGGGGAAATCGGTACCCGATGCGTTGGTCACCAGCTCGAAGACCATCGAGGAGGCATAGTCGGGAATACCGGTAAAGTTGACAGATGCAGCAGGCATCTGCAACAGACCGAAGAGAGAGAAGATGGTGCCGTAGGAACCGAACCCAATGTTCAGCTTAGATTTACCCTTGCTGGTGATGGTGTCGTTGAGCGCAGTCATGATCTCACCGGCCAAAACGGCGCCGTCAATGGCACGCGCCTCGTCAGAGGAGTTGTAAGCCAGGTTAAACTCGTGGCTGCCGGCCAATGAGATCAGCTGGTGGTAGACATCGTCGGTCAGGTCCGACTTGTGGGAGAACGTGCTGGTGGAGTTGTGAATCTTGCCGACATTCAAGTAGTCAAAGATGGTGTAGGCATTCTTGAATGTCATGTCAGACGAGGCAAAGGCCCCAGAGAGCATGGGCTCAAGAGACTTGTAGAAGTCCTTGGTCGAGGCGAGCAACTTGGTGTACATATCGGAGGTGAAATAGTTGTTACTGCTGACAGTTGCCTTTTGGCAGCCGCTAGAGCCCTGCAACCAAGTTGAGTCCTCAGCATCCTTGCTGGTAGTAGATTCTTTTAACAAGACGAGCTGATAGCCACCCAATGGCGCCTCGACCTCGGAGCCATTTCCTAAAGTTTGGGAAGCAACTTTGCCCACGGGAGGATAAACACCCTGTAAGAAACCAAATGCCGAGTTCTGCAGGACATTTTCGGCCGGTGCATAAGCAGTGATCTGCTTAGGATTAACTATCTCGGCGCTGATACCCTCAATCTGCTTGGAGGAGTCCGCCGAGATATACCGATCATTGTAGAAAGAGCCGGCATCGAAGACCTCCCGATAGCCCAGATCAGTCAAAGTGGTGCTACCAAACACCTTTGGTGTGCGATCACCATGGCGCGCAAAGATATAAGCGCCCAGCACACGCTCGGCTTCCGCGACAGGAGAAAGGGAAGCTGCCAGCAACAGCCCAGACTGAATAGAGTACCGCATTGTGATCGAAATTGCGAAGCAAAGACACAGACAGAAAAAGACTGGGGGGTCTGACGATCTTTATCTAGTCAATGTAGCTGTCACCGGAGAATAATTCACTTTTCCCCTCTTCCAGGGTTCGACTGCATCCAGACCCTAAGCCGCTAACTTAGCCCGGGCTAACAAGCATACGGAGAGGCCCGAAATCATTGACCGAGCATATTCTAGCGCGGCCAAGCAATTAAGCCACTGGTCAAGTCCGAGGAGTTGAAGATCGATAGGGCGCCATTAGCTAATTGGAATTCAACTCCGCGGTATACCGCGGTGCTGCGATAGCGGAGGACCCTTGTACGGTCCCCCACTACTCCAGATACCCACTCTTCTCCGCTTCTATCATACGTCCTATTTCGTACTTGCACTACTCTCTAGCTAGGCTTAGTGCATATTGATGTGTCCGATGAAGGCAAGTTCTGCCGCCAAAATTCATCGATCTTCGGATTGTCGGATTTTCGGAAATGAGAGAGAGAGTCCTGGTTCCATTTCGCCTGAGCCCGAGCCTATGCTACCCAAATTGGTATTTGAATCATTGAAAAAGTTAAGTCGTTTTGTCCCTATGCCATTGATACGCCCTTGTCGCCCATGAGTTCACATCCGTTGCGTACAACTCCAACCAGACCACCGGTTTGAATGGCTTCGGAGCCACCACCAGCCAGTCGCCATTCAATTTCAGCCAGACCTTCCAACCAGGTGACGCGGGTTTGCGCTGGGACTTCCAGCTGTTGAAGTTGGTCGGCCAGCGCGGACAGAATGTCCGCGAGAGCCAGACCTTTGGTAGTCTTGAGCGTGCGCACGGTACTCAAACAGGAGGTCACGTCGCTGGTAGACAGAATGATGGACATGATTTCTTGGATGTCCGATGGGTGTGGTGCCGCAATACAGTCGTAAATAGTCGCGTTAGTGATCGTCTCTGGCTCAGGGCGAGGAGCCTTGGGGGCATCTCTCATGGGAAGTGGGATACCTGTTCATGACATGGATTAGCTGGGGATGCACACAAAAACCGGAAGACCAACTTACTGCTGGCAAAGCAAGCCTGGAGCACGTTAAGCGCACGTCGCATATCACCCTTGCTCAGGGTGACTAGACTATCGACGGCTTCAGGCTGTATCCGTACACCTTCCTTTTCAATGACTTGGTCAACAATGGTGCGAATATCAGCCTCCTTCAGTGGGCTGAAACGGAACCGAGTACACCGGGAGAGGAGGGCCGGTGACAGCTTATGTGTGTAGTTGGCGATAACACAGAATCGGGTGTTGGCTGTGTAGCGTTCCATGATACGACGCAGGGCCATCTGGGCGGTAGAGGTCATGGCATCGGCCTCGTCAAGAATGATCAGCTTGAACCCCGCTAGAGATGAGCCAGCAGCACCCTGAGGGGCCATGTTGAAGATCTGTTTTGTGCCTATGGGAGTCCTGGTAAGCTTCTTGCTCAGCGGCAACATTCGAGATCACGAACTGGCAAAGGTCTTGATTTGTTCTCGAACAACGTCAATACCACGGTCGTCACTGGCGTTCAATTCTAACACCATCTGTCGCATGTTCTTCGTGCCATAGATTCGGCGGGCAAGGGCTAGAATGGTAGAGGTTTTTCCGGTTCCTGGTGGTCCGTATAGAAGGAGGTGAGGGAGTTTCTATATCGCAGCATCAGTGACGGTACATCATGCAGCCTCGGGAGTGTTCAGTACATTCGTATCCACGAATCGATTGATAGTCGCGAGAATATCTTGGTGGCCGGACACATCGTCTAAGCTGCTGGGTCGGTATTTCTCAACCCTGTCAAAGCAGAGTCAGCAAGTGCGCGCCAGTTGCTTGGGTGGTCGACTTGCCATGGGAGGTTATCTTGAGCTTCAATAGGTAGATCGGCAGTGGTTCTCTTTTTTCCACTGGCATTATCGGAGCTGAACTGCACATCCTTGGGTGCATCCACGTCCATTTCATCTTCGTGGTCCGACATATTGATCAGATAGGCTCAGGATAGAGTATGAGGATCGACAGCTGGTAAAAAGGCGTTGGTCAATTCTAGGGAAAATTGACGACGCGTTCGCAATGTTCACGCGTAAAGAGGCTCGGGGCGGAAAATCATGGAGCTTCGGGGGGACTCCACAGATGACATCCTCACTGCCTAACGTCAACTTGTCCCTCCGCGATCTCTCCGCTTGTTTATCTACAACAATTGAACCGATTGTTGTCGCCTTCAATATGCCTGTACGTGTTCATACTACATGATATTCCCCCTTTACCCTATTAAAATTCACTCAGGCATACCACTCCATCTTCCTGGAGGACCGCGATGTCCCCGTAATTGGTACGAAAGCAGACCCCGGTTATCCAGCGCATCTCTTGCGTCCGATACCAACTTGAGAGAACTGCGAATTGACATGCTCGCCACATAGGAAACTTCCCTATCCTCCCCCTCCGAACCCGCACTCGCGGCCCCGCATACACATTGCCCCCGCTTCCCAACACCGACGACCTCGATGTCTCCCCAGAAAATGAATCATACGACTGTGTCGACGAGATCCTGTCGCTATTCCGTGCGAACGTCTTGTTCCGCAATTTTGAAATCAATGGCCCCGCCGACCGCATGCTCATTTACGGTACTCTGTTTATCAGCGAATGTCTGGGCAAGGTCAAGCCAACAATGAACTCCCGTGATGCCGAGAAGGTCAGTTATGAGAAATTCCAGTCGGATCCGAACCGCCTGTTTGACACTGAATAGGCTCTTACCAATGCCGCACTTGACAACTTCGCCATCCCGGGCGATGTGTCGTTCCCCCTCAACCAGGCCTTTGAGGCCCCCCGTGACCGCCAGGACGCCGAGACTCTTCGCCAGTGAGTTGATTCTCGATTTGCGCCCCCATGCGACCATACGCCAATTTCTAACCTTCTTAGATTCATCGCGCAAGTGCGACAGGAGATTGCTATTCGCCTGCACGGCAGATTATACCCCGGTGGAGTCGGACCTTCAAAGGTAAGCCAACGTGAAACTGGAAATACCATTCAGGCCAAAAATACTAAATTCACTCTAGTTCTGGCTTAGTTTCACGAAGAGAAAGTTCATGGGCAAGAGCCTCTAGACGAAAGCGTTGCTGTATATTGTTTGATGAAATTCAGCGCATAAATGAATTTGGTACCTACTCGATTCGAAAGCCACTTCGATAAGTTGTCGTAGTGGGCATACAGGAGGCATTCTGTCAAATTCAAATGATTCCATGTGAAGCCTAATCCTAACGCCATCAGATCGTGGCCGTAACATTCCCTATGGCCGATTAATTTTATGCAAAGAAATCAACTGAAGGTATGTTGATGCTATTGGGTTTGAAAAGGTATCGTACATTTGAGATCACTGGGATGTCATCTCTACATCTCGATCACTCGCGGGTGTTGATTTTGGTTCCACCTTTCGGCGCTTGTGACGAAGATTGCCGGCAGCTTGAATAGTTTGTGTGGTCGGGAACACACGAATACCGTGGAAAATGTATCCCTCTGCACCACCGCGTCCAGTCATCAACGGGTGGGTTCGACCGGGCAGAACCTGCCAGGGACGCACCCTCGACGACTGCAAAGTAGGAGGCAGGAGAATGGTCGGGTCAACCACAAACTCCTTATAGAGGGAGGTCAGGTCAGCAGTTTCTCCCTCGGCGACTTGTGACTCTAGCTCTCGCTTCTTAGCAATGAAAGCCGCCCTCCGTGAAACGGAATACATATCCATTAATTCAACAAGAGGCTCGACGTTCGGCGAGTAAATGACAACAGGCGCGGATCCTGCAAGAAGTGGGACCATTGTCTTCAAGACACTTGATGGTTCTAGTAGGGTGGCCATGACCAGGCTATCGAAGTTACCAGCCCGAGCTTCGTCCACGACCGATTTCACTTTAAGCCAGCGATTGCGCTTGTGGTAGTATGTTGTGCGTTTACTTTGTTTCATCTCGGCCAATTCCTCCGCTGCAATTGCAGGTGGCTCGTTCTCGTAGATAGGATCGGAGTTGGGGTCAAGGAGCTGCATCCAGGAGACTGATTTGAGGTGGGTGTAGAGAGGGTGGGTTTCATCGGGGCTGTTTGTGTCGTAACCGAAATATTTCAAGAGTGACAGGTTGGGCTGTGCGTAAGCGTGCATCACAGTAATGGTGTTGGTAGTCGCGGACGACTGCTGAGGGCGTACGCGCCGGGGCTTTGGCGCACTGGCGTCCTCCGTCTCGGTGTTAATGTCAGCGGAGGCCTCTGGCTGTTCCTCTGATTCGTCCTCCGCATCATGAGGATATAGAATGCCCATCCGCTCTGCCATCGCGGCAACCACAAGTCCGGCGGTTTCATCCACCACCGCATAGCGACCATGTGGCTTAACGCCGTCGGGCACTTCGACGTTGCCACTGTGGTGAATATTTCCCCAACACCCGATGAGTCCAATGTGCTCGTCACGCATTTCCATGGTCTTTTGCGCATCCCGTTCTTCCATCAAGTAATTGGCGAGAAGACCCACGTCCAGCGGGAGCACAGTAAAGCGCTTCATGTACTTCTTGCGCTTGCGCAAGGTGTACTTAGCGAGAGAGAAAGCGGTCTTTTGGTCTAGAGCGCTATGCGACTCTAGAAGTTTTGCGACAATGTCTCTTCCCGCGCCACCGGACTGTTTTTTTAACTCCTCGATCTCCTCCAGTGTCAATTTTTGGGTAGAGTTCATGTCGATAGTTTCACGGTTTGTGCGCATTGGTGCTCCATTTTCACCAGTGTCCAGGTCTTCGGGTTCCACATCTCCCTCCCCATCGGCGAGGAGAGTTTCTGCATGCAGTTCGGTTGCTGATAGAACGCGCAATTGATGACCTGTTTCATCGCGCGAGTCCAGAATTTCAAATGTGAAGTACAACGGGCGTCCAAGAATCTGGTTGGCGGCAAAGGTGCCGAATCTGCCTAAATTGATGACGCTTTCTGGTGTTAGTGGTGGAATCTTTTCGCATGGGACTTGTTACTCACGTATCGGGGACGATCTGAGCGAGCTTCAACTGATCTGATGGCAGCTTGAGCGCCACCCATTGATTAGGGCGGATATAGGAATGCATGCCGGCAATAGGGTCAGTCAAAGCTACAGTTCCGCTCATAAAAAAGATGCGGGCAACTTTATGGCCGATAACACAGTAGCCAATCAGCTTCTAGTAATGTCCAAGTCGGATCAATATATAGTCCGAGGGCCCGCTGCCTCATATGATGCCTTATTGCCTTAAAGAATTTATGCCTGAATATCTTCTTGCCTGACGCTAGTCCAATCCTGGCAGATTGATCCGTTACGAGGACACTGTGATGTGACCGTACCCGTATTGTATTGGCGCCACCCCCCGCCACTCTATCGGTGACCCGCTACCTCTAATGGTAAAACGCATACACGGAGCTTTCCCCAGCTCAAGAGGAATCCGGGTGCCTGCGAGGGTGATATCATTCCCCTCCGCTCCACATCCGTCATTTGCTCTCTGTCCCTAATTGTCCTCGGGCATGGCTGTCTTGAGATTAAGCTGAGGCTAAGGCTAGCTCACTGACGTTTATGCTCAGCCCCTGCAGCCCAGCGCAAGGCGGTTTCCAATACTCACCTTCATGGCTTATGAGTTTGTTGACCTTGGAACTTCATCTTTCAACTTGATTTAATTTCCTGGATACCTTGAACTGCCTTCAATACTTTGGTCGTTAGAATCGCATATCTGGAGTATACGTGAACTGCACATTTCAACTCTTTGACCCCTCAATCCTCGAATCCAGATTCACGTCTTCATGGGCCTGCGCAAACAGCCCCCACCGCGTCTCCAAAACATTAGCAAACCGTATGCTCGATCGGACGCACGTTCGCCCAAATCGGCATCAGCTAATTCCCCGTCTTCCTCTCGCCCATCTCACCTTAAACGACTTCCTTCTGAGGATTCCATATACTCCCCCGACCTGAACACATCCCCTGCATTCGATCTAATGCCGCTTGACCAGGCGCAAGGGTCGCCAGTCGGGTCGCCGACACGCAACCCGCCAAATAAATGGCCAGATAGCGCCATGAGATCGGAAAATGGCGGCGCGGGTCAGTATGGTCACCATGACCAGTACAATGGGACCTATCAGGACCCCGGGACCAACACCGAGAACTCGGTCCCACATCCACTTATTCCGGGCCAGTATACAGGCGCATCCGAGAATGTATGGCGGTCAGATCATGATGCCAGACATGCGTCGATGGGAGAGCTGCCCGTACAGCTTCAATCAAACAACCCGTTCTTGAAACCAAGGTCGGCAGAACATACTCAAGATCTGCTGGACAGAAACGATTGGGGACGAACATCCCAGGCGACTACAAATAGTGAAGCATTGAGTCATAGTAAGTCCGAAGTTATATTAGCAGGAGATCTCTTGAGCATACTGTGGAGACTAACAACTTCCCAGCGGATGGTTATATCCCGATGACAGCCCGTTTATCTCTATTGGACCAAACGGAGCAAGAAACCCCATGGGAGGAACCTTCCCAACTCCACTATGATCAACGCGCTGTGCTGGGTGGCCACCACCTGGATGACAACTCACCATGGGAATCTCAAAAATCGACCAACGTTTCTGAGCCCCAAAAGCCATATCAGCAGGAAGCACAGCCTGATCCATATCAACCGCCGATTGTCGTGGAACCACACAGCTCGCCCGATGGAGCTCGATACGCACACGCACAAGACCACCAGCCGTATAATCCACACAGTCTGGAATCAGACCCTGGGATTAGGACTCCCTCAGCTGTACCTTCCAACGCCACCTCTGCCACATCCCATTACCTGATTGACCTAGATGTCCCTGGCACGACCGCCAATCTAGGAATTGATACTGGATCTCGTGCTGGGTCCTCGGTATACTCACAGCCAGCCTACAAAGAACCGAATCCTCCGTCGGACGCCCAGACACAAGATCCTTCATTCTCCACGGAGCAGCCATGGGCAACTTCCAACAAACCCGAACCCCAAACGGTCCCCATTCTATCCGCAGAGGAGTCCGCGCGACAAAAGGAACAAAGGGCAGAGACGTACACAATTCGACACATACGATGGACCGACCAGTCCGGCAAACTACTGGAATCTCCTATTCTGGTTCAGAATCAAAATGGCCCATGTCCTTTGTTGGCCCTCATTAATGCACTGGTTCTACGAGCAAACCCGAAGGCCCAACCACCGATCGTTAGAGCGCTCTCAACTCGCGAGCAAATTTCATTGGGGCTGCTCATTGAAGCAATGTTTGAAGAGTTGACAACATGTTTGGGTCCAGATGAAGAGTTCCCGGATATTGAGGCTCTGACTCAGTTTTTGACCATGCTCCACACTGGAATGAATGTCAACCCGCGGTTGACTCTGGTAAGTAAAGGTTAAATATCTATCAAACTCTTGCATACTGACCCGATGTATAGGAATCCACTGATGCGCTTGGAACCTTCCTACAAACCAGCGATTTGCGATTGTACAGCACTTTTGGAATTCCCTTGATCCATGCATGGTTGGCTTCTTGGTCTAGTCCTACGCATGCAGCGATGACACGAACCGGTCAGTACTACGAGGATATTCAAATGTTGCCCTTCCGCCGGCAGGAGCTAGAAGATCGAGCCACTCGAGGCGGAACTCTCACTTTCGAGGAAGAAAGCACCATGGAGGACATTCAGTCAATCCAGCAATTTGTGGAAATTGAAAACGCCACTCAATTGAGCCCATTTGGCCTGACTCAGCTTTCTACCACACTTGAACCAGGCTCTGTCTCGATCCTCTTCCGCAACGACCACTTCTCAACCCTTTACAAACACCCACAATCCCATCAACTATACACTCTAGTCACCGATGCCGGCTATGCCGGCCATGCTGAAGTTGTTTGGGAATCTTTAGTCGACGTGACGGGATTCAATACGGAGTATTACTCTGGCGATTTCCGCACTGTTGGTGCCGGTCCATCTGCCGAGCCTGCTCCATCTAACCCAGCAGGTCCACGGACATCCAGTGTTCCGGCAACCTCTTCCCCACACTCAAGCACAAGTGACACCGCACAATCTCCTGAACCTAGCCAAGAGCAAAGCGACGCGGACTACGCGTATGCCCTCTCACTTCAGTTTGAGGAAGAGCAACGCGAAAATGAGCGAGCTCAAGAAGGCAATGCGAGTCGCAACTCTGCGCAGAGCAACCCCCCTAGCCGTCCACCGCGCATGAGCAACGTCCCTAACCGATCTTCGAGTACAGCCACGGGGCTTCGTACTCGGCCTGGCCCTCAGCCAAACCACGGCCCTGATCCTGAAGATCCCAATGCTCCGCCCCCACCATATGAACAAGCTGCCGGGGGGCCCAGATACTCGCCCCCTGATAGGAGACCCCAAAGCGGTATCCAGGGCAATCAGTACCCGGGCAGGAACGCCCGTAACAACTCGCAGTATGCCCATCGACCACGTCCCTCCGTCGCGTCGAGTGCCGACCGGATGGGTAGAGATCGAAACAAAGATTGCGTAGTGATGTGAACCATGAGAAACCGCCAAATTAGCATGAAGCCCCCTCCAATTCCTCACCACGGCCAATGCAAACCATCATGGAATGAATATGACGAAACGATAGGACTTTCTGGACAAAGACACGCTCGATTGGCCAGTAAAATGTGATATGGTTGCTAGATACTAGTTTTGCGCTAGCGTTCTTGTTTGTTCCTCATTCTCCACGGCGTTATATACAAACCAACACGGATCATCTCCGCGCCCTCCGCAGGAGCGGGGCTAATAGTATTATACTCAGACAATTCAGATGCCCAGCCATAGTACGACTTTCTGAAAGAGCCTTGGAAATGCCCACGAGACCAGGGAAATTAAAGGAGTGACCGGCAATGCGCCTGTAGAATACTCTTCCTTATTGGCGGAAGTACTGCGCCTTTTCCTATATGGTTAGCCTTGTCTTTCTGACAGCCAAGCCCGAAGCATGCAACCTGAGCCGAGGGGCCCCGGGGATTCATAGCAGTTGGTGAGAACTTCCGTCAGGCACACGCATGGATCAGCTCTTGGTCAAATGATCGTGATGATATCCCCAATGAGCCCGGGGTGGCGGCCCGCTTGAAGATCGGGAGATGCTAAGGACCGAGCAGGATCAGGGGCATGTTCCTTGGAAACTGGTACCCTTCAAGATTACTGCCCATGAGCAGTCTACCCAGGCTGTTCATTTGGCATGCCAACTGTGGCTTTGCGGACATGGCTTGCAGGCCATTTGCTTGGCGCTACTATGGGGAAATGAAATGACCAAGAGTATCACATTCTTGGACTTGACGAGGGAATTGAACACTATAAATTGGCTGACATGTTCACATGTAGCTCAATTCACCGTTGAAACTATTATCATCCACAGCTGAGGGTTATTTGGCTGAAAATGCAGGTTCTCCTCTCCGGTGCCCTTGTGGCCCTTGCCAGCATAGCACAGGCACAGGTAGCAGGCTATGGACAGTGTATGATATGCCTCCCTCTCCTCAAAGGTATAATCACTGCACCGAAGCTAATACTTGGGTTTTAGGTGGAGGAAGTGGTTACTCGGGAAGTACTACCTGTGCTTCAGGATATGCATGTGTTTCGCAGAATGCTTGTGAGTTCATCCTGGGGAACCTGATAATTTCTAAATGGCTAACATCTCATTAGTCTACTACCAATGTCTTCCCGGTACAACAGCTGGAGGGGCTACTACCACAACGACAGCGACCACCACCAAGGCGACAACCACAGCTGCCGCTACGACGCTGACGACAACTACAAAGACCACAGCCCAGGCGGCTTCCTCCACTTCAAACGCGGCAGTTTGCACGGGGAGTTTTAGTGCAATTAGTGCCTCGAAGTTTGTTTCATCCCTGCACCCTGGCTGGAACCTGGGGAACACTCTTGATGCTGTTCCTGATGAGGGATCCTGGAACAATGTTCCAGTGGTAGCATCCACATTTGATACTGTCAAAGCTGCTGGCTTTAAGAGTGTCCGACTCCCAGTTACCTGGGCCTATCACTTCACGGGCAGCTCCCCAGACTGGACAGTTGATCCGGCATGGCTCCAGCGAGTCTCGGATGTTGTTGATCAAATTGTGGCCCGTGGTCTTTACGTTGTTGTTGATGTGCATCATGGTAAGATCAGTCAATTTAGACTCATAGCACTGTTCCTATGCTAACATCATGCAGACTCCTGGGTTTGGGCGGATGTCACCCAATCAGGGGCTGATTTGGCCATGATCGAAGAAAAGTTCTACAGGCTTTGGTACCAAATCGGAACCAAATTGGCTTGCAAATCTAGCCTTGTTGCGTTCGAGCCCATCAATGAGCCCCCATGCAACACTGCGACTGATGCTGCTGAAATCAACAAGTTGAATAAGATATTCTTGCAGGCTATCAATGATGCTGGTGGCTTCAACTCACAGAGAGTTGTGACCTTGGTTGGAGGTGGCCAGGACAGCATCAAAACTTCACAATGGTTTGTTGCGCCTTCTGGCTTCTCCAACCCATACGCTATTCAGTTCCACTATTACAGCCCCTGTGAGTGAAAACTACCTATCTCTCACCGATTTTGTGGGGGTATGAGATCGACTGACATATGATTACTTTAGATGATTTCATCTTCAGTGCTTGGTAAGTGGATACAAGACAAAAACATTGGAATGCAGGCTAACTTGCATAGGGGTAAAACGATCTGGGGATCGGATGCCGACAAGGCCACCATCAAATCCGACTTCCAGCTGATCCGCAACAATTTCACCGACGTGCCACTTCTCTTGGGTGAATATGATGCTTCACCCACCAATACCGAGCCTGCTGCTCGTTGGAAGTATGTAGACTTCTTAATCAAGACTGCAGCTAGCCTTGATATCTCCTGCATTCTATGGGATAACGGTTTGGACCATTTGGATCGAACTGCTGGTACTTGGCGTGATACCAATTCACTGTCAATGATCACAAAGTCTACCGCGTCTACTGCAAACAGCTTGCCGGACAGCACAGAGGATGGTTCATTGACCAGTCAATCATCCTCGGCATATATCTTCCACCAGTATGGAACAGCAGTCACCGCACAGACTCTTCCATTCATCTTCAACGGAAACACCCTCTCGTCAATCAGTGATTCCACTGGTGCTTCTTTGACATCTGGAACGGACTACTCGGTCTCAGGTGCGAATATTGTCTTCACGGCTTCCTACTTATCAAAGCATCTCTCCTCTACCACGGCACCGGGAGTTGTGGCTACTTTGACCCTGAAGTTCTCAGGAGGCAATTCGTCACCAACCATCCAGATTGTGCAGTGGAAGACTCCGACCTTGTCTTCTACATCTGCAGTTGCCTCGTCTGTATCCGGCTCAGATCTCTCCATCCCAATCACTTGGGGAGGCCTCAAGACGATTGCCGCAGTCAAGGCTTTGACCAAGAGTGGAACCTATCTCGTTGATGACTGGACCACTTACTTGGGTCCTCTTCAGCAGGCAAGGGCTGTAAGTTAACCCCATTCAATATCGAGATGTAAACTATCCATACTAACGGCACAATAGACATACAGCAGTCAATACAACTGGGATACCTCGAATGTGATCCTCACATCTTCGGCGATCAGCTCCGTGATTTCTGCGGGTCAATCGACCGTGTTCACATTCGAATTCTTCCCTCGGGATAATGGCGCTGTCAATGCTGTCAATTTCACTTTAACGGTTTAAGCAAGGCTCTCTCATGCAGAAAATAGTGATACTTAATGCAGACAGCCAATCATTATTTCAGAGTGGTCACATTTTTATTATCGAATATATATTCAAATGAATTGGAACAGAGTGAGTCTAAGTAAATTCTTAAGTCGTGTTTTAAAGCAAGCTCTCTTCTAAACTTTAGAATTTCTCTCTCGTCCTGAAGTCCTACTTTATTCATAGTATAATTCAATACATTCCATTCCGAGGTCGTCTTTTTCTGCTAAGTATCTGATCTCGAGAGATGGAACAGTGACTACTTCATACTTGATGCAATGTTGCCTTTTCAAATGGACATCAGTTCTAATCTTAGGTGCCAATAATTGCAACACCAATTCAAAATTTGTTGGATAGAAGGCGCCCGCTCACATCATTAGCATTATTGTAAATAAAGAGAATCATCACAGTCATCAAATCGTTAAGAACACACCCAATCAACACCCCGACCCTCAATATAGGGTCTTCAGTTCGCGCAGTGGCAGATGAGGATCATACTTGTCCCACACAATCTTGTTCTTCTCATCAAGATGCGCACCCTTGTCTGTGATGAAAATCGACTCATCCGTTTCCATAACCTCATGATTACTGAAACCCCACTTGTCACGAGGAATCCACAGAGTCGGTGGTGGTGACGCCACACTCGGCTCATAGTATGCAGTGCGCATCTCTTCCGGGGTATAAGAGACCTCCTGGACGTTGCGGCGGATCTTGCGACGCAAAGCTGCGTAGTCCTTGTAAACGTTCGGGTGGAACCATCTCCAGAAAGCCAATGCGCGAGGGCGACGCTGTTCGTTTATTTCTGCTGCTTTGTCCTCTTTTTCCTGAAGCATTTCCTCTTCTGCGTCGAGGGATCTCGGTAGGAATGAGTTTAGAGGAGCCAATGCTTCGTTGAGAGACATGTGTGCGAGGATGTTGCCCACTAAGAACACTGCCATGATGATCAGTGGGCCAATGGCGCCTTTGATGGCGAAGAGACCGATCATGCATACTTCGGCCAGGTAGAGTCCGGTCAACAGATGCTGCAGAGCCCGTGGATAAACAAGGCCTTTGGTATCGATCTCAATGTCATAAACAAATAGGAAGTTGTATCGATAGGCTTGGTATACCAGATAAAGTCCAAGGAACGCGAATCCTAAGATGAGCGGTGCGATGCAAGAGTACGTCAATGCTGGAGAACCTAGTTAGCAAGCTAATAGTTCGATTAAAACAAAAGCTTTCTTACCGATCACGGCCATGTTGGTAAATACGGGGAAGACATTTCCCCAACTGAGACTACCTAGCTCTGCCCATCGCTGGAATAGACGACGAGGTGAATATGCGAAAAAGGTGGTGACGAATTTGAAAACCAGAGCGCTCATGATTTGCACAAGGGCCATAGAGCTCATGGTCAGTCCCTGAAGAATGAAATATGAGATGTAGAAATTGGTGGCCTTGGGCAGATTTTCCGCCAAAAGATCCTTGATCGACAAAGGGTTATGTATGATTTGAGCAGTGGCAGCTGAGGCAGCCGATGTCAACGTCGTGACCAGGAACACTTGCACCACTTGGAAGACGAAGTGCGCACTCTGGGTAAACAATTCCACGCGTGCTTTTGAAGGCACACCGGCACGTCTAGCGCACACTTTGCAAAAGTTAGCTGAGCCGATGGAATCGATTTTGAGATTGAATACATACCTCGACAGATGATCGGTACTAATGACATTAAAGCTGCAAGAGCTGCAGATGGCAAAAGACCCTCGATTGCTCCTTTGATAACATCTGGAAGGTTCTCAATGAACTTCAGGGGAGGTATTATGTTACAAATGTATGTGACGTTCGAGATAGCACCGACAAGCGCGGCGGGGAATGACCAAAAAATGACCAGTGCTGCCAGGAATCCCTGAGCAGCGAACCTTCGCACGATTCTTTGCCACCAACTGAGGTTCAGTGCTGACCAGACGACTTCCCGGGGTGAAATTCCAATGAAACGAGGCGTCATATGGAATGGCTGGTGGTGAGACAATGTTTGGAGGGCGACTTGTGCATCGGCCTGGCTGTTGAACTCAACGAAGATTGCGCTCAGCTGGGTAGCTTCATTTCTCTGGTGTTTATTTTGCAAGGTTGCCACTTCCTCGATCTTTTTCTTCAGTTCAGCGCGGTACCAGTGAACAGAGTCGACTTTTTTGCCGAAGAATTTGAGCCGATGCGTCGGCCGCTTGACTTTGTGAGACCATGCTGGGTTGCTAGATTCACAATCTAGACAAGTGTCGATTGAGAATTCCTTCTTGAGCTCCTTTCGGCGTACTTTGTTTGCCCTGCGGATGAGTTTTGTCTCCGCTGTTTCTAGCTTCTCAGCAAGCTTATCTCGCTCGTTGACCATTTTGTCCAACTTCTTGCAATCTGAAGTTATCCACATTCGACGAATGGAGTCTCCGAATACTTGTCGAATCTTGTCTTGATTTTTGTAGGCATCTGGGACCGACATGAACAGAACCGTCCGGGATGACATTCGCGACGCATAGGCAGGCGAATTGAGGTACGCCTGTCGCAAATTCGCGTAGTACATACTCTCTCGAACGACCACATAGAACACAAAGGCTGAAATGGTGAGCGAGTGGACGTTGAATGATGGCAGTCAGAACTTACTGAAATATACACAAGCCACAATCGCATTCGCAAAGTACCGGTGGGGATTAGCAACATTGCTGAAACTCAGCATATCCAGCTCTGTGTTGCCATTGCCGCCAGTGGCATGGAGCGGCAATAAAATTGGCCATGTGATCAAGCAGCCTGTCAAACAGGTCGCAGCTAGGACTCGCAAAAATCGCAGAAATAGGTAGCCATCAAGTGATGAGTGGTGTAACACATGGTTGTCCTCAATTTTCAGAAAGGTCCCAAGCCAGTTAACCCAGCCAGAAGGTAGCTCGGGACTTCGCTCATGCTCGTGTAGATCGGGCAAGTATGATCGTGGAGCGTACCATCGGCGTTGGGTCCGCCGAAATATCAGAAATAGGCTAACCCAGAAGAGCGCATATACAAGTGCTGGTAAAAGGGTCATCATCAGGGCTGAGCCGGACGAACCACCACCGCCGGTGAGTCCGCCGACCACATCTCCCGATGTAGTCGAAGCATCGCCTCGCGAAGATCCAATATTTGTGTCGTTATCCTGTTGGGCGAATGAGCATCAAGGTATTTTATTCCCGTAGAGCGTAGTAACTTTACCGTTATGTTTGACATATTGCACCGTCCAAATCTTCCGAGTCAACGGGGAGATGCAAATCTCTTAACCCCAGCTAAGAAGAAATGCCATTATTTCTCCGCGACCATAAAGAGGGAGAAAAAAGCAATGCGGCCCACCCCCCCCCCCCCCCCCCCCCCCCCCCCCCCCCCCCCCCCCCTCCCCCCCCCCCCCCCCCCACCCCCCCCCCGCCCCCACCCCT